GTACAAGTGCGATTGAATTCGGGGGCATCCCTCAGTTGAGCGTTAGCTTTGGGGAGTGTTATTTGTTTAGTTCAGTAACTTTTCAGTTCCATGCCTGTGATGGCAGCAAAGCCTGGCCATAGAAGGAGGAAACCAGCAGCCTGGGACACGACCAAGAGTGAATACTTCCTGAAGTGGGATGCTATACGTGGAGAACAAATTCATAAAGATGCCTTAGAGTTCTTCATTCAAGCCAAGGACAAGTTGGACAAGCCATTTGATGACCCTGAAGATAAAGGTAGCAAGTGTTTTTAACCTTGATTTTCACATAACTACAATTAAGGTTGGGGAATCTAGCTATGCTCTGTAGCTTGTACTTGCTGTATGCACAGTTTAAGAACACTGGTGTAAACCCTGTAATGAATAGTGTGTTGTTTGATCTGCTCAGAACATTCAACTCAGTTAATAAGCATGGGTGATCAACCTGGCTGTGCTTGTGCAATTGGCATTTTGTTGGGAATTCCTAAAGCATATTATAGGATTCCTGTAGTAATCTGAACTGTTTAAGATAGCCAGAAAATGATTTGATGTAAAGTTCTGCCATCAGCTTAACATTATGTATGTTTTTTTAATTAACATAAATGATTTAGCATTCAATGCATTTTATTAGAGTCTCATGGCATAAGTGAATCAGGCTAGACTTTAGGGGCCATCCACATGGCATGTTGAGTTTGGAAGTAAAGGGTGGGTTGTGATGATAATGTTAAACCAAACCATGACAGGGAGATGGGGGGCTGGAGGGTATAGTATCATGCTTAGCTGTGGTTGCAAATCATGCTTAAGTCTATTTTTCCATTGTGCAAGCCTAAAACTGGGTACTGTTAGCTTCCTATCAGGGCAAGCTCCTGACCTGCCTTTGCATCCCACCTCTAGCTTAATTATTTGCTAGACATATTTACATCATGTTCAACACAGTGTTATCAGGGAGTGGTATGCCCATTGTAACCAGTGGTTTGCCAGGAGAGGAGGGGAAGGATGATAAATTACAGAAAGATATTCTACATGTCTTATGAATGGGCAATTTTATTTATTTCTTTTTACTTTACAGCAATTTATTTTGTAAATATTTGATGAGAAATGATAAGTTTTCCTTTTTCACAACCTGCTGGATGCCTATGCTTAGTACATTTTGTTGCTGTGTGTTTGAAAGACTTCAAAATTAATTTCTTAATTCAACACCATCATTTCAGAGCTGTTCATCCAGAATGTGTTCTCCCAGACAAGTGGAGAAGAAGTACCACTTGTCAAGAACAGTTTGGCCTCCCAGATTGTGGAGCAACTGATTCCAACTGTCAGTGATGAAGCTTTGTTGCCATTTGCTGCTGCACTCTACCAATGCATCACAGAACTAAGTGAAGACCAATTTGCCAGTCATGTTCTACAGACACTTCTCCTAAGTATGACATGCAGAGTACAGGTAAGCACTTATGATGTTTGCAGTGTGTAGTAATCTTATGTTTCTATGTAATATTACATGCAATTCTACCTGCTCTGTAAGGAAAACCAAGATAATGAACTAATCATCCTTGCTGGATGAAGAGAGTTATAATTATTCTAGCTATGGTATAAAGGTAGCATACTGACATCAGGTAACATGCTCATTCCACTTATATTCCAGGCAGGGACATCAAGCCTCCATAGCGACCTGGAGACATGGGTGCTAACATCTGCCGAGCAGCTCCAGGAACGCCTCCCAGCTCTGGCTGGCCACCAGTATGGCTCCCATGTGCTGCGCACCTGCCTGGAGTGTCTGGCTGGCTGCCGGGCACCTCAGCAACTGACGCGCAGCCGCAGCAGCCAGCAGCAGCGCTGGAAGAGCCGTGATGCTCAGCCCGTGCTGCTAGACAAGCAAAAGACGCCACCTAGCTTCACTGAGAAGTTCGTGGAGATGGCGAAGGCGGTGAAAAACCTGGAGGGATTGGGAGGTATGACACCATTCCACTGAGGCGATGAGTGCACCTTTAAGCTGCTGTCACTGTAGGGTGTTTTAATGTTTTGTGTGGTTGCCACTTGTCCAAATGTTTTCAGTCATGTGTACTCCCAAACTTTGTATGTGACAGTTGCACCCTGAACATTCTCTTCTCATTGCAGAGTGTCTAGCTGATCAGAACTTCTCGACTGTTGTGCAACTGGTTCTCAACATCCTTTACACGCTACCTATGCTGAAACTGAGCAGAAAATTAATCAAGCGCCTCAGCAAGCTGTACTTCGGTGGCTCCATCCCAGAGGACCCCACGGTGCTGCCATCTGTGTTCGAAAACGAGAGTCTGCTGCGGGTCCTCGAGGCGGCGTTAGTGAGCTGTGAGGAAGACATATTTCAGAAGCTATATAGGAAATATTACCGAGGCCGGTTACGGACCCTGATGCAGGAAAATGTGTCGTCGATTTCGGTCCAGCGACTGGTGGAAGCTTGCCCTGGTGCCGAAGCTGTAAGTACACATATGGAAAATGTTTGGCAGGGGTCGTAGTGAAAGTGTCTGTTATTGCTACGGTGCCATTGCGGCTTTACGACGTGCTCATATGCTGAGGCTATATGACGTCGCCTGCCTCTCACCCTGGCAGGAAGGGTAGGTACCGCGGAGAATCGAACCCTGTACCTCTGGTTTCACAGACGCGCAGTGGTTATCGCAGACGCGTTAACCACTGCACTATTGGCACACCTTATTATTGCTACCAAAGGTCGTATTGGAAGTAACTACGCTGTGATACATTCTTTTCGGTTCTTTCGAGGTTAAATTGTGACCACCCTGAATTGCTGGAGTCGTGTCGCTCAAAGTCTGTCTAGCTCAAATATGGGATTAGGCCTTGGGTACCCGATGGACACTGAATTAGTGAAGACATTAGGGCGCCTAAAGACAGCATTGTTGGTGCACTGCATCTGATCGGGATCATTTTGCACATCCCGGTGTGGGATCAATCAGGAGTGCTCTGAACACATTCCGGTGTTAGATTGACTGTTCCGTTACGTCAATTTACACGGAACGAGAATGCCCAAGGCATTTAATGACAATTTTACAGATGCAAAAGGACACGATTAAGAGACCGTTTTAAGACGTGCGCTCTAACTGATCCCACGATATTCACCGATCTAACGACACAGGCTTTTTGTGGTGAGTGGGTTGGTGTTTGTGGTGGTGGGCTTGGGTGCGTGACCGAATTGCAGAAGTCACAACTTTGACCCCGAAGTAAATATTCACTAATAAGTTCACGTTACATTGAACGGCGCTGAAAGGCTAATGAATTTGCAATGTGGAGCAGTAGACGCCTTGTATCCAGGAATGAGCAGAGTGGCAACAAACGCGGGAGTTCCCAATTACCGTGTAAGTGATGCCGAAACTCAGGAACTTACCCATGCAAGCCAATGGGCTGGTTCACGGTAGGCCTTGAGAAGCGCTGAGAACAGTCGAGGAGCGACCTTCCGACACGTGGCTGGTAACCAGGCGGCTCGGCCGCGAAAGGACTCGAACCCATATCAGTGCGTCTAATCAATTCGCTGTGAATTCTGTGCTTTCATCATTTCAACATGCAGATGCGCACTGATGCAGCATTCGCGTGCCCAGGTCAAAACTCGTTCTATGTAAATGTGGACCGTAATAGTGTGCCCACATTAGGCAGTTTGGACTACGAACGCAGCTTGCAAGTGTTTTCAGCTATTTGTGCTTGCGGTAGCTAAACAAAGATCTTGCGAAAAGCGCAGATAGTTTTCTTGAGATAATGGTCACGGGGCAGTGGGCTGAATGCGCGGTAATTTGTATGGCCCAGTCTCGTTTCACGCAATTTTATCGGAGGGACGCAACGCACGTCGTCGCTCATCGTTTTAGGGAGCGTCAGTAACAGAGTTCACAACGTTGAGGAGCCATGGCGCAACCGGGGTCGGAACCCCGACCCCCGCGTAGGAGCTGGAGGCGCTAAACTCTCGGCCATTACGCTCTCCCTTGGATTACGCCACAGCGGCATGTGTTCGATCTCGACTCTCCAAGAGGTGGCATCGACCGCGTCCCGGCCGCTTACTGGCGCGCCTGGTTCATTACTGGGTCGATCATTGTCTTAGAATTCGCAGTACATGTGTACGTTTGGCCACTACATGCACGTCGTGTACGTGTTACGGCGAGCCAGCGAGACGGTGGGTTACGGTGGCCGCGTTGATCCTGGCTGATGGCCTATAGGCCGTGCTGTGGAAGTAACTCGCGAGGGAGCCAGGCTGCTGCTTACAGACATTTCGACCATGGGCCCTATTCGGTGTCATGCACGGTGGGTCCCAGGGGCCAGCAATATGATCGTGAACGGCTCAACGGTTAGTTGCAAGCATTTATTAGCTCTGATCTCGGAGGTCTGACATCAACCCTAAAAACGCCAAAACGGGTCGATTATTGACTACGTTAGAATGCGCGTGGTCGGCGACGCATATCAACCGACGCTTCCCTGTGGGATTGTCCGTTTTCTCCGCCGTCAAAATGCGTCCTTCTCTCCTCACTTTGCAGCTCCTTTGTGATACGGTACGATGCTGGACACGGCGCCGTTAAGGTCAGATAACTTGTAGAGCCCGGCTCTGTCGATTCGTCCCGTTGCCCAGACTCCTGGGCGCTAGCCGTGAATGGAGAGGCCAGTCCCCAGATAGGATCGCTGTTTATCAAGGCTCGCTTTGAACCGGTTCACTGTTCACAAATACGCCACTCCCAGTAAAAGAGCGCACTCGTCCAGGCCTTCATGACTCGGACGCTGACGTCATTTCTCCTGATCCCGATGACCGCGTGCAGTTTCTGTAGCTTCCAAGAATGTCCCCTTGTAGCACGAGTTGTGACTAGTGTGAAAAAGTCATCCGGGAGAAGATCAACCGGTTCATCGAGTAGCCGGTAAACAGCTATCGCATCCGCTCGGCGCCGTCTGTAGTACAGTGCTGGCAGGTCGATCACACGGTATTCCGCGCTTTTAAGCAGAGCCAGTTTTGTGGCGCGTCTCCGTACCCGCTCGCCAGCTTTTGGTCCAGGTGGTCGGGTCAGACGGCGGGGGTATCGGCGAGCGACCGCCATCTTGTATGATTTGATTATCGCTGTCGCTGCTTCTCACTTTGTTACAAATGTCACATTTACCAGGTTATTCGAATGGAGGGGCCGAAACCTCTTGGCGCTGTCAGCAAACTGCTCCCAATAAACCGCTGGCATGCAAACGCCTTGAAATTTTAGACCACAACTTTTGAATGGTCGTGCTATCTGTTCTTGGAAACTGCATAACGCCGTAATTAATGGTTGCGACAATATAAGTCCGTCCTGAACGTGACTGACCGAGCCAGGGTGGGCCGGTGGAACGACACAAAGTCCGGTAGATTAAAGGGAACGTTCCACATTTATATGGGGTTTTCAACTGAAATAGCCATCTTAAAGACCTTTTGGTGCTGTTCATAGTCCTGCCCTGCAAAGCCCTCTAGTTTCTGGGCCGCGCGCCCGCGAAAATAAGGAAGGGTACATTGGGAAGATTATTTCAAGGTCACTTTGGCATTAGTGGCGTTAGAATAACGTCATTCAAATCCTGCCGTTCCATAAGTCATGGGGCGATCAAAGCCAAAAAAATGAAATTGTCGAGGCGTTCGTATCTGGTTTTCGTGGGCGGGATTTTCAGACACTGGTGTCAATTTTCTCTTAATCAATGTTGTGCAAGATACGATGACGTAATCAAACCATGACGCATCGAGGAGCATATTTCCAAACAGAGAGTTGTGCTGTCTAAACCAGTCTTTTTCACGTAAAAAGTATGTTCATAGTTATAGGTGAGGTTGCTTCATCATATCTGATGCTTGCTTTTCAATATCTTCAGATGTGAAACATTCCCTTTAAGCGGCAGGCTGAATCTCGAGCTCATGATTGTGAAAGGAATAACGACCAGATATGATACGATGTTTTCAAGTGGAATCTAAATTTGTGTGTTTTGTCGCCCTGTTTTTCATACTCTATTTTAAGACACCACAAGGCTTTTTGTTATTGTTCTGTCCATAATCATACGTAACTTTTGGTTAGGTGCTGTTAAGACGGGCTGGATGGGCAACCTTGCTTGCAGTGCCATGACAGCTAGAGTTAAACCGGAGCACAGGGTGTAAGCTGGCGGTGGGTGTTTACTTCGACAATCAAATTTTTTCCAAAATTAGTACTTGGTGTTTCTCCCTATGTGTCTGCCAGTTTTGGATTGCAACCCGTGAGTTGACTGCTCCCTGTCACATAATTTGAAATCGACCGATTAATTGTCATATGTGACCATCTGCCACAAACATTTAGCGCGATGACTTCATATTCCCCATACTTAACGCACGTAGTTTTTCTCGGTCTCACATGGTAATCATGAACCTATTCAAAATTTTTGCCTTAAATTCGCGGCACCCGCAGCGTTGGGACTCCAGCAGTAGTGAAATAAGGTGTTCACTCCTTTGGAGACGAGTGTCCATGTCACCGAGTGGTAAAGCCTGGCAAAGTGTAAGCCGCCCAGACAAAGCCGTCCATCCACTGAATTGGCCAGTATTTGCGGTGCCTCAAGTACCCGAATGCACCAGTGCCTGCGTGTGTAGCCCGTACTCAAGAGTCGGGCGTCATTACTGTGGCTCGTCATAAAAGGTGTATGGTCGTGTTTGCTGGGCGAACAATTCCCATGCGAGGTGGATTAACATATTCGTGACTTGACGAGGCTCGGTTCAGCCGCAGAATGATAAAGGGCAGTGATTCGAAAACGGCTTTCTTGTGATAGTGCTGTCTGCTTAACATGATCTGATCCACGTGCAATGTTGTCGTGTTCTCACGATCTCCGCATCTCGCGCCACGGTTTTGCACTGTCTCACCCCCCCCCCCCCGCCGAATCAGGAGAGTGGGCTCTTTGCCTTCGCCCGCACGACTGACTCCCCCCCCCCCCCGACGACAGCTGGAGTCGGTGCTAGAGGAGCTGGAGGCCGATCCAGCGACCGGCTGGTGGACCACCACCCGCGTGCCCACGGCGCTGGCGCTGGCCTGTGTGCGGCTCCACAGCCACCAGGCCCGGCTGATGAAGGTGAGGGCGGCCAGGGCTGGGTTAGTCGCCGGGTCCAACTGGGGTGGAGCGTGGCTCAGGCACCAGGCTCGCTAGGTCAGGGTGAAATGCACGATGCAATGTCTGGAGCTGAACCACAAGAGCATTCTTTATCGAGCGCAGTGTTAAGACCATTTATAATGCATAACACGAGTCATTTTTTATCAGCCAGGTATGCTTAGAGATATTTTCAAAACGTGCGATGCCGAGACACGGCCGGCCAGTGCCAGGTCAACCTTACCAGGCCAGCTGCCACTGCGTTGTGTTCGGGCACAGATCCCCGTGTTCTAAGATTTTAGTAATGCGTCACGAGTGGTTCTCATATTAACGTCGGACCTCACTGCCACCGCTTTCTGACCCCATCTGATCCCATCAGACCTCGCCTGACCTGATCTGACCCGCACGACTTGATCTGACCTGATCTGACTCGCCTGAACCGATCTGACCCCGGTTGACCTGGTCTGACCCCGCTTGAAATGACATGACCCCGCCTGATCTGAGCTGACCCCGCCTGACCTGATCTGACCCCGCCCGACCTGATCTGACCCCGCCTGACCCCGGCGTGCCTTAGCTGGCGGCGCGTCTCTGTGACTGCGAGTCGGCGGAGCGGGCGCCGCAGCTGGCCCCCTGCGTCCTGTACCGCACCACCTGGACAGAGTTCCAGCGCCTTCAGGGTCGCCTGGCGTCCGTCGAGATCGCCATGGACGGCTCGCTGCTGCTTCAGGCCATGCTGAAGTTCTCCAAGCCGACCAAGGTGCGGTGCCAGATGCGATGTGCTGCCAGGCGCGGCTCTGTGATTGTGGCTGACGGTTTGCGTTGTGACCGCCCGATCTCAGAGAAGCTTGCGAGTGTTGGTAATATTTGGGCAAGTGTTAGATGGTGCGGTGCTTTGCTTTCCCAAATGTCAGACGCATGTCATGATACTTTCTTCAACCACCTGTTTATCGTGAACTTGTCGACCGCGCCAAAATCCTGCCGTACACACCAGTTGCCTTATTGGCTCGCTTTCATACCTTTTAAAACGTGCGGTTTTGAAAGGCCTTCGAAACCTCATCAATCTGGTGTTTCATTATCATCTTAAAGGAACACTTGGATGACGTCACTTGGCTGTGCCCGCCAGCTGATCACGAGTTTCCTGAGCTTGCGCGCCGATCAGCTAGTGGCCGTCCTCCAGTCGCCCGCCGGAAGCCACGTGATTGACGCACTCGTGACGTCACAGCACATGGGAGACAAGGGCAAAACACGTCTGTTGGAGATACTGAAGGTACTGTTGAATCGGGAGTTGTTCCGCTTGTGGAAAACAGTGGCCATCGAGCTTGTAGTCGGTGCAGACTTCACTAGCGTTTTCCCCATTTGGTTGCAAACGTCACGAAAGGCGAGGGAAAACACATGGCTCGTGACACCTGTTTGGTGACAGGGATGGAGATTACCAGTACAGCTTTAGCGAGATGCCCATATGGAATTCAGTAAAAAAAAAACTGGCACGCTACTGTCTTCTCCCGACCCTCCATTCCCGTCAGTCGGCCCTTTCAAGGGCTACGCACGAGAAGGTTGACACTGAGACTTCACCGATCACCTGTCTGCTTTCGAGTCGGCAAAGTATTTGTTGGCGATCTTTGTACGTGGTGTGCTGTCGTTGGCACCATCCGATATTATTTGCGCATGGTTGATTTGAATTAGCGTGGTTACGAAGATAAAGGTTGCCGGAAGGCTGCTGTTGTTTCTATTTGGAATATGGTATACCCGAAATGACCTCTGCTTTGCTTGTCATGAGGCTGGAGACCATGGACAGCCTATAAAGATAAAAATGTGCATTCAGGTGAGTAAGCTTTCTAAGAATTGTAAATATCATGCTGGTGAATGGTGTCTATCTCCAACATTTCCCGGTGGTTGTTTTTTTCTCAAACGTTTTACCGTGCGCCATACATGGGAGTTAAAGCCAAATTCCAACAGTTTCCCCCTATGATTTTCGAACAGAAAATCATGTAATTCTAACAGTTTCTCATGTTTCTCAATTTCCTAGCGCACGTCTGTCCGTATATCCATCTGCCTGTCCGCATTTCTTTGGTTATATGCACAGCACATACGGCTGCGGTGAAATTTGCACATACAACGGGCTCAACGGTTGCGACGATCGTTGCCATGAATTCCAGCCCGGCCGGTACCGGCACAAGCGAGAGAGATGGCTGTGTTTTGGTCTTGAGCAGGGAGACATTTTTCGTATGCATTTTTAAAGCAGGTGAAAAAGACATTGGTGCCAGCTCTTCGTGCAAAAAAGTGGACATGAACCACAACTTAAGAATATATAGTAGCCAAAGGCGGGGGGGGGGGGGGGGCGAACCGTGGCCATGGCTTCTGAACCGTGAGGTTACGTCCAAAACGGTAGGATTTCGAAAAAAATGACATTAACCCTCCCCTCGCGGGGAAACTTCTGGCTACGCTTCAGCTAGGTGAGATCCACTTCATGCTGCTGAGACACAGTCAATGTTATGTCGTTACGGCGGAGCTATTGCTGTTGGCATTGCCGCTTGTTCGTGTGGCGAAACAAGCCCTTGTGTTGCAATGTTTGATAAGACATCTCAACGATCATCTTTGGTGTGGCTCACGAGTAAATGGCTGCTCATGCGTAATACCCTGAATCGAAACTGAAAAACCGAGAACGAAAATCAGACCGAAAATTGAGAACCGAATATGCTTAACAGTGGGATGAACTGAGCAAAGAAGCAACGCATGGGAACGGACGACATTACCAATGCTTTTCCTAACCAGCGAATTGTGAGTGACAGCGAATCGATCGACACTGCACTGTCTCAGATCGTGGCTGTTATAGGCTGAAAACCCTTGACCTCAATCAGCTTGCCAGCCAAGAACTCGTTCGGAAACGGAAATCGCCGACTTCTGTTGTGCGCTGCCTGTAGTGCTCGCATCGCTCGGTCACGCGATGTTTGTGAGCTACCTTTGATTTTGTAAAATCACGTGAAACCTCCGACGATCGCGCGATATTTTTACTCACGTGTTACGGAAGGCGCTCACGCCGTTTCCACGTAACCCATCAGTGGCCTACAGCGCCAAACTTAAATGTTTTTGCGTGCTTTACTACAGCTACAACGTACACCAACGCCTAGAGCGCATCGTTTGATAAAGTTTGAAGTGAAGGAAGAGCCGGATAATCATACATTTCATTGTTGGCATGCTGGACAGCTGAAAAGTACGGGATCATGGCTCGCGTGATGAAATGGCCACTTGGCGGGAGACGATTTTTCTTTTGAAACAAGTAATTCAGTGTATTTGCCTCACCGTTTTCACTGAGACGACTATTGAGCATTGATGTTGTCCAGCTGCGCTCTTTCGTTCATCATTCAACTGACACGTAGACTGGATGTGCATTTTGCTGCAAAAGTATTTATTCCGATTTTTAGACACTGGGTGTATTCATCTCGTTGTGTTTCATTTTACTTCACTGGGACGATGCACATTGCCCCTGCGTCACTTTGCTTTGCCCGAAACTCTGTAATTGCAGCCACAGAACGTTTACGGAGCTAACGACGATTTTTTCAGACTTGTCACTGGTAGGTGCTCCCAGTTTGGCAGTTCTTCAAAGCCCAGCCTTTGCTGACATTTAATGATTAAGCACATCGGCTTGCATTTATCAAGTCAGGAGCCAGAAGGATCTAATATATGCCCGCTTTGTGTGTGTCGTGTGTTTGTGTCATTGGGGCTTTATGACGCGCTCAGCTGCTGAGGTTATACGGTACCGCCTGCCTCTCACCCTGGCGGGAAGGGCGGGCACCGCGGGGAATGGAACCCCCTACTGCTGGTTGCCCCCACGCGCAGTAGTTCCGCAGGCGCGATAACTACTACACCATCGGCACCCTTCCTGCTTTCCTTGCCTAGTGTTGTTTCATGACACTTGTCGGCTACTTTTCCCACTTTCGTCATCCAGATTTTCACAAATGTTCCCATCGAGCTAACCTACCATCAAGCGAGGTGGCGGACCTTGCCAAGTGTCACACGTGTCCTGCTGAGCAGGAGTAGGTGGCGGGCTGAGCCAAGTGCCGTACGTGTCCTGCTGAGCAGGAGTAGCACTGGCAGCTCGAACGGGCTACAGCTTAGCTTGATCTGGGGTCGGCCCCACCCGGCCGTCACGCCGTCTAGAAGCGAAAATCTTTGCCACTACTGGTCGCAATCCGTACCGACACTGATCCCAGTTCGCACTGCCACTGATCCCAGTTCGCACCGCCACCGATCGCAAGTCGCACCGCCACTAATCCCAGTTCGCACCACCACCAATCCCAGTTTACACCACCACTGATCGCACTCTGCACCGCCACTGATCCCAGTTCGCACTACCATTGATCCCAGTTCGCACCACCACTAATCCCAGTTCGCACCGTCACCGATCACAGTTCGCACCGCCACTGATCCCAGTTCGCACCGTCACCGATCGCAGTTGGCACCACCACCAATCCCTGTCCGCACCGTCACCGATCACAGTTTGCACCACCACTAATCCCAGTTCGCACCGTCACCGATCGCAGTTCGCACCACCACTGATCGCAGTCCGCACCACCACTGATGCAGATTTCAGCAACAAACCTGGGATCCTTTAGAAGCTGTGTTCCACACATTTTTACGCATTTGAGTACAGGCTGTTCGGCCAGGTGTGACTGCTCTGCAACACTGCAGCTGGAACAAAATGTGGACTTTCGTCATCCAGTTAGCACGGGAGATTAAAGTTTGTTGACTGCGAAAAGCTGCACAACACGTGTCGAAGTGGTGCTCAGACCTCGACGACCCTGTGCAGTGTACCATCGACACGAGACCAACATGTTTTGACATGGGAACTGGGGTGTAGTTTCTTATTCAGTCGGGAGAGGCTCTCCCCCCCCCCCCCTCCATGCCCCCTCCCCCCACCTCTATCCCCATTTTTCAAAAGAAACTTGGCCAAATCCGGTGAGAACCCCATTGGTTGGTGCATTTTAGTGGTGTGAATGGTCATTCCTCCCCTGGTTAGTCCTCCCCCAAACTGATTTTGCGTAACAACGGCCTCGTTTAGAAGAAAACGTGCAAAAGTTGCATTTGTTAGTATGGATCAATATGTGAAACCACTCACGTGCTGCTGGGTACAAGCCGTGGATTTGCCCGTCTTTGGGTATTTTGAGAACTGGTGTGGGATCTTGCAACGAGGGCAGATAAAAGCGCGATATGAGCTGTATAATGGTGTAGCCCAATCGCACGTGACCGGATAACGTACGACTAGCGTACCTCTACCTTTCTGGTATGCGTTGTCGGGGAATTGCACGCAATGGTGAGTGTGTGTCTGTATCTAATAACGTAATTCTGGGCAGCATTAGCCACGTTTTCGTTTGGGTTACCGCGCGCCAGTACAAATACGAATGCAAATGTATCATCCACAAATCACGAAGCGATTTCAAATTTGCCCGAGGCTTAGGCGCGTTGGCAGTTTAGCGGCAGGCGGCGCATGCCACCCTTGCCGAACCTGGTCTCGAATGCAGCTCGCTCCCGTGTGAACCGAGAAAGGATGGGTCATGAAAACACACAAGTGCGTAGCCCAGTCCTGTTTAGCAGATGTCTAACCCAAAATATTTTTTGTAATGCTGTTGTCGCATTCACCAAGCCGTAGCAAGCTATAGCCAACCAGTTTGCGAGTCAGGTGAGATGTGAAATTGACGTGCAGATTTTACAGCGATGAACCTCTGCCTGCCAAACACTCATCAAAGTTGGACTTCCCAACGAGCGCATTGCTCGACCCCGTTGACCTGGATTCCCAAAGCTGTGCACTCTATTAGCTTAAGTTTTGCCTCATCCAGCAAATAACTGGAATCGATAGCTCGCTCGACTGACAACGGCTCGCCCGTCCCATGCCGCATCCCATGCCGTCCCAAGCCTTCCCGGCCGATACGTACTGCAACAAATGTCAGCACAATCGCGGCTCATCTGGCTTGTTGTATGTATAACGGAAACGTATGTCTTAGCAGCCTGTGCGCAGTATTATGAGAGTTCTCAATGTAAATATGGAGGGCCTAATGTACCCACGGCCTGGCAAGGTCTCAATCATTGTGTCAGTGTTGCCATGCTTGTGCAAATGACTGTACCTACGGGCGATATTACTGCCTTGAGACTACATTTATGCTGCTCTCTGGAATTTGGCGACTTCAGGACGCACAATGGTGAAGAACGTGAGTCCAGAATAAAGGTATTCGTGCGTTTTTAGAATCAAGCACCAATTCCATGTCATCCGGTCTATTAATCCCAACCACATTGCCATTTTTCTTCGCTTGTCATCCGTCCCTCCCATCTCGTAGCCGTAGACAGCTTATGGATATTTGTATTTCGGGAAATACCCCGATATGACCTGTCCCTGTCGCTGGTGACCATCTGGACGCTTCATCGCACCGGTCACACCACTCGGGCGTGGTCGGCTGGACCAACCAAAACGCGTGTGAGAACTGCACCCGGCGCCGCAGGATAAGAAGACGCTTCGTCTGTTGTCTGGGCAACGGCGGCAGCCCGACGTCGGGACTCTGGCGGCGGCCATGTTGTGGTCGGATTTTGTCAAAACATGCCCCACCCTTTCACACAGCGCGTTCGTTAAACTGGAGGGATTCTGTTCGAGCTGATATATCTCACTGGCGGATTTCGCGTTGATTGTAGTGGGTGGCGCCTAAGGTTTTTCGTCGCCGAATGTAAACCGCGTTGGCTCCTGCCAAGAACATCCTTAAAACGTTCCACACAAAAACTTACACCCTAAATGGAGTTGTTTGGCTCGCGTGGACGAAGCCCATGGACAGACTGAATGTTCTGGGTTCACCTGAGCTCAAGCTCGCAGGATGTAGTGCATCAGGATCATGGCGTGAATCGCAGGGCAGCTGGCAATGTTGCGTGGCAGGCAGCGATAACGCACCGTGTCTGGCTCATGCGGCCCATGTATTATATCGTCCCAAAGACAGAAAAAGGAGCCATTCGAACAGCCATGCCTAATACAGATTCATTTTCGCAACATTCGCGAAATTTGAGCGGTTCAGGTCTGTCTTGAATTTGAATTTTAAAGTGAGTTCTGTTCTCACATTTTGACAGTATTATCCATTGTCGCGGATATATCCGGCTGTTTCGTGGCCGCTGATGATGATGCCTGCTTTTAGAACTGCCTTAACGACACTTCGGGCTTCTCGCAGCTGTTACTTACATTTGGCGCTTAACTCGTCATAAATTCGGTTTGCGAGCTGTGTTACCCAGCCGATCAAAGGTCGACAAGCCGAACACACGAACCACCAAGACCAGGGTCGGTTGAGACAACCCGAGAGTCTGGCAGTCTCAGAGAGAGAGAGAGAGTCTGGCAGTGTCGGTGGCGGCCGAGGGCCGTCACTGAGACTGTACGGTCGAACCGAGCGGCTTGCGTTAGGCGTAAGGTGGCTTGGCTCAGTGACGGAGGCTTTGTTATGTTGTACGGTCGAACCGAGCGGCTTGCGTTAGGCGTAAGGTGGCTTGGCTCAGTGACGGAAGCTTTGTTATGTTGTACGGTCGAACCGAGCGGCTTGCGTTAGGCGTAAGGTGGCTTGGCTCAGTGACGGAGGCTTTGTTATGTTGTACGGTCGAACCGAGCGGCTTGCGTTAGGCGTAAGGTGGCTTGGCTCAGTGACGGAGGCTTTGTTATGTTGTACGGTCGAACCGAGCGGCTTGCGTTAGGCGTAAGGTGGCTTGGCTCAGTGACGGAGGCTTTGTCATGTCCGCGCAAGGCATCCCTGTGGAAAAATGGCACCGCGGCCTGCTACTGACGTTATCTTGCGAATACATATGCAGGTGTGCATTGCAACGCTTAGGTCACAGTTACCAAAACCTTTAATAAGTGCAAATATACCGAATCCATCTGTGGAAATTACCAAGTCTGACCTGCTATTTATGAAGTACCGCGAATGCAATTGCGATGTGGGGTGTAGTTGCAAATGGTCTGCGTATTTTCGAAGTGTGAGTCGTTGTGACATCCGGTCTTCCTGATGTCGTTGGAGCTGCTCTGGCATGCAGCGGACCAGATGTATAGTATTGGTCTGTAGAGGCAGTCCCGCGCCGTCTTGGGGTGGGGAAACGCAGGACGGATGAGGATATATTTTTTGTTTGAAACGAGACTGCGATTTTCGTTGTTAACTTTGCTGAAAACACTCAGAGGGCTGACAAATGTTCCGATTCCGCCGTTAACTCGATCTCGATAAGCATTTCGCTTTCGGTTGTATCAAAATATCGTCCAAAAGATATCTTGATAAGACGGCACTTATAGCTTGAACCATCTTAGAGCAACCAGGAAAATGGAAAACTAGATAGGTTGATATTTCGTCTACGTGTCGTTAACGAAACGAATGTCAGTAGACTGATTTTGACTAGTGAGTACTGATATTCGTTTCCATGAAGGCATGTAGCCGAAATGTCAATCCATATATATTTCCATTCTCCTGATTATTCTACGGGAAATACGGATATAAGTGCTGTCTTATCTGTTTCAATATACATAATGTTCCCGCAGGTGCACTTAGCTCACGCCATTATGAAAGACATGTTCAAAGGTATATCGTTGAGGTCCTGCTCTGAAGTCACGCAGAATAAGAATCTCCGCATAATGATGCCCGAATGTATATTATGTAACGACCTTTTGACTTCAAAGGGATTAACACGCGCTCAGGTGAAGTTCAGCGTGATCCCCCCGAATATTTTTCGGGAGGATTTCCGAACGGCGCGGCGTGGCCGCACTAAATTTTGCATAGCTGTAGACGAATGAATAGTGGATCGTTTAGTATGAAAATGAGATGTACCTCGTAAGGTCTCTGACCTACGGTGAGTCAAAGTCAGGTCATGGAATTAGCGAAGTCCGTTCCCCGGGGTATCTTTCAATATGATGCAACAAGTGAGTGTAAGACAAAGCCATGCATCTTTTAGATGCTTTCTTAGACGGCACAACAACTCAGTGAACAAAATCCATGAACCTAGGATCGGGTGTGGGGGTCAGACCAAGGTCCAAACCAACGTGTTGATTACCCTAGGTCTTGTAGTTTATGGAAGTTTCTGATGCTCGGTTTTAATTCATGAGTAACAGGGACCGCGTTATACATCTTCCATGGACTTTAAAGTTCAGTGTAGCCCACTAAATGACCCAGGTCAACAGTTTGTTTTTAGGACCATACTGCCTAGCGTAATCTTTGCCGCGTATCCAAATGCAAAACTTGAAGCAGTCTTGTATGATTTTGGCCACCATGACCTTCGAAAAGCCAAACAAGGCCACTGACCTTAAATAAGGATGTAACCTTTTGCTTAGAACAGGTATCAAGGTTCTGGGGCACTTTGGACACGAACCTGGAGTTTGACATTGTTTGACCGTATTTGGCTTGAAGATCATGATGTAGGAACTTCAAATTTTGATCTAAGTGCGTTCACGTACAGGTCAACACGCCCTGTAAATTTGGTGTCTCTAGCCCCCTTAGTTTCTGAGATCTTAGGGGGATCAAATTGATCCCCACCCGAGCGCAGTATATCCAACCGGTCACCCAGGCGCGGGCTAAGATTGCCTTAGAATCGTGTTCAGTGTACTAAGTGAAGTTTTGAAGCATTCCTTATATCTATTTCGTGCCTTTTTGTGTGCTGGGCACACAAAAAGTTTCCATCATCTTCAACCAAACATCTTCCGCTCACGCTGCGATAATTGTGCAAAGTTTTGGTCAATTTGGATGGGTGCTATTTGTGGGGCACCACGAGGGAGTGGTGGTAGCCATTACGAGTATTTTTGCCCGTGGCTTTTTGCGCTCAGAGTTTTTAGCTTCTCGTAATACATGTGAAATAATATTTGGTTGCAGGCTAAATTAATTGAGATTACAGAGATTGTTGCAAAAGCCCCCCGCCCCCCCCCCCAAAAAAAAAATCGTGCGACCCACTACTACTAATGCAAATTAGGCAAGCGAGAAGCGATATAGTACTCTTCCAACATAACATTCTTACCCACTGACGCATCATTTGTATACAAGATGAAAACATGGTCTAAGGAAACATGGGAGCGAGCCCTTTTCGCTCGTTGTAGCGCGTTCGTTATGTGGGTGCGTTTGTCCAGCAACTCTGTCTGGACGTGGACGCCTGACAGTGTGATGGCGGATTATACCGAGCTATGGGGCTTGCAAGCTGGAAAATGCACGTATTTGATGCGTTTTGGTTTGATATAAGCTTATTGGTATGGCTATCTGAACTAAATTTGTTGATTCCACATTGCACATAGTTGTTTTCAACGGGGTCCATGTTATTTTTTGTCAACGCAAACGGTTTCATGATCACGGCGTAATTATTTGTGATCAGAGAAGGGTAGCTATCGAACCAGTAGACGCATAGAATGTCATCCTCTGAACACCAGCAACTGCCAGGAAATCTGTATGAGATGCCCAGATTATGTTTAAATTCAGACTCCGTCACCTGGGAAATAAGCTTTGAGTCAGTGATTCTTAAACTTTAATAATCTGCGTTTGCCTTGGGGCACCATCGTGTCGAAAATTTGTGCTGGTTTTTAGCATTATGTGTGGAATTTCGAGAACGTGTGCGTTGTTTTGAATAATAACCCGTAAGAGATGTGCGTCTGATTAGATCGTGCTGTAACGTCGTACCATAGCACGGTAATAAGGGCTATACGGTGATAAATGAGACAAGACGGTGGTAAAAGCTCTTTTCTTGATGGTGGTGTACAATGGTGGTTAAGTGAATATAAGTTGAGCCTAAATATTATGCGCCACTGACCCAAATGCCAGCTGAGATCGAACTAAGGCTTCTAGTTTTTTTTTCTACGGTCATTTAGGAAGGCGTGTCCCTCATCACCGCTGGTTTTACCGTGTGCACTCACTGCCTCTGGTCTCTGATTGCCCGCCGCGCCCCGGTGGACCCCGAGCCCGCGCCCTCCGCTGACCGACGCCCTGCGCGCAGGAGGAGCTGGTGCCGCTGGCCTGCTCCAAGCACGGCTCTCGCGCCCTGGATGCCCTCTGGGGAGCCGGCAGCCCCGCCCACCGCAGCTTCATCGCCGAGACGCTGGCGCCACAGCAGGCGCAGCTGCGCGACCACTTCTTCGGCAAGTTCGCCGTACGCAACTTCGCGCTGCCGCTGTTCGTCAAGAAGCGCGCCGACTGGACGGCGTACGTCAGGCGCGAGGCCAACAAACGCAAGATGTTCGCCGACCTGCTTCCCGCCGCGGCCGGTAGGTGGCGGGCCGAGCGCGCGGCCGGCTCAATGCGCCCGATGAGAGCGCCGCTTTTTACCGGGTATTGAACACTGGAGCCCGGTGCGCCGTTTGTTCTGATTCGGCGGCCGGAGAGAGGCTCGCGTTTGCGCCTCATCTCTGCCGCCGCCGCCGGCCGGCCGGCCGCCGCTATGGATCGCCGCCGCGTACGCCGGGCCAAATCGATCGCGTACTTTAGCTTGCCGCCGGGATGGGCGTTTGAAGCGGCTCCCGGCATTGCAGCCGGTCAGGGCGGGAGAGGAGGCCCGAGCGGCGGCGGCGGTGGCGGCGCCGGCGCGGCTGGGGATGGGCCAGGGCTCTGGCGAGGTGACCGGGGGGGGGGGGGGGGGGTTGATTGCACTTCGACAGACAGACGCCTGTCGCAGTATCAGGGCTGTCGACGGTCTGATTAAGTCGGCTGCAGGTGGATGAGCTCACTGGCGCTGGCAGATTTATGCCAGACAACATGGCGGCGACAACGATTACTCAGCTTTTCTAAATATGTTCCCGACACGTTTGCATCATATGCACACGTTCCCAACTTTGAACCAATTTCTAAGTTATTTCGAACCGCAGTCCAGGCACCAGACAAGCCACTGTCCATTCCTCAACGTTTCTTCTCTGCATCAGACACGTACATCCTTGCAAGTGAAAACCGCAGACAACCTGTTAACACCTCCCCAGAAAAGCCACAGCGGCCCGCTCTCCCCGGCTGCGGGCAGTGTGTCGCCGCTGATACGTGGACGCCGCTGGCCGCTGGCCGCTGGTGCGCTGGTGCGCTGGCCGGCGGCCGGTGTCTCTGGCGTCACCCGACGGCCGGGCCGGCCCCGCCCCGCCGGGCGTCGCCTCGTACCGATCGGCGCCAGTCAGGTGTGGCCGGCCTCGGTGCAGATTGCCAGGCTCGGCACACGCGCCGCGCCGCGCCTGGATTAGCTCGGCGAGCGGTGCGCGCTGGCCGTCGCCAGATCTTGGCGCCGGCCGCTGGCAGTTCGTCGCCGGCCGCTGCGTCCCGGGGGTGGCGCCGGCTCGGGCGGCGACCCGGCCCCCGGCACCCCGCCCATCACGGTGTCTCGTGGTGGCCGCGGCAGGGGCAGGGGCGTTGTGCGGGGATTTTCCGGGTTTTGGGACTGGGGTGAGAGAGAGGTGTCGATATTAAATGTCGGAATCGTATGTCGTTTTTCGACGTGGCGTTGTCAGATGTGTCTTCTCGGGGGCTTGCATGCGTATGTGCTACTGGGAGCATCATCAGGACCACCCGGGGATGAAGCAGAGTGCCTTGAGCGTCCCCGGGATGGAGCAGAATCAGAGTGCCTTGAGCGTCCCCGGGATGGAGCAGAGTGCCTTGAGCGTCCCCGGGATGAAGCAGAGTGCCTTGAGCGTCCCCGGGATGAAGCAGAGTGCCTTGAGCGTCCCCGGGATGGAACAGAGTGCCTTGAGCGTCCCCGGGATGGAGCAGAGTGCCTTGAGCGTCCCCGGGGTGGAGCAGAGTGCCTTGAGCGTCCCCGGGATGGAGCAGAGTGCCTTGAGCGTCCCCGGGATGGAGCAGAGTGCCTTGAGCGTCCCCGGGATGGAGCAGAGTGCCTTCAGCATCCCCGGGATGGAGCAGAGTGCCTTGAGCGTCCCGGGATGAAGCAAAGTGCCTTGAGCGTCCCCGGGATGGAGCAGAGTGCCTTGAGCGTCCCGGGATGGAGCAGAGTGCCTTGAGCGTCCCCGGGATGGAGCAGAGTGCCTTGAGCAGCTGGCTATATCTGTGAGAAATAGTTGGCTACATCAACGCGAGGAACAAAACACGGCGCCTTACCTCAACCGGCTGCCAATATTTCGGCCCTGGCTGTGCCGCCGGAGCATTGTCTGCCGCAGATTGTGACGCATGGCTCAGCATCTGCTCTCACTGGCCCATGTCATGCACGAGGCGCCGCGGTACCGTATGGCACACCGCCACCCCGTCCCTGATTGGACAGCGGCCGGACGCGATTCATGGTTATTGCGCGGGCCCAAGTTCGGCCAAATGCTGCGGCGTCGGCGTGCGGGTGTGGACGGTGCGACGCGTTCAGCCAGCGCTATTAATGTCGGTGACCCGGCTAACACGGCAAATGTGCGTGGCGGTTTAACGGCGGTAAAATACAGTGTTCAAGGCGAAGTTTTAATTGGACAACCCCCGCAGTGGTGTTAGAGTGCGTTGGGCTACTGACGCGGACACCCGACCACATATGACCAATGATGGAAGCAAGAGGAACGGTACGGAAAGGTGGTGTGGTCTCTCCCCTATCGGCGACAGTTGAGCTTGTCATTGCGAGCTTGTCCTCATTGGGCCCACATTGCAAAGCAACACGATTCGGCGTGCCGCGCGAAGCGGACGTCTCCTCCGATTGTCAGAATCCGTCGCCGTCAGTGTGCTCGATGCGCCAATGCGCCCCGCACATTTGTCCTCCACCTGAACGGGAGCGTCCCATTTGTGCTCCACGCGAATGAGCTTCATACACGTCTGCTCAGTGTGGAGGGGCGGCGCGCACCACCTCGCACCGGCTGGCACCGTGCATGGCCATATGGCATTGCGGGTGATCGCGGGGCGTGTGCTGTGCCGCACCGGCGGTCTGATTAAAGCGTCCGTGCCGGTCGGCCTACAAAGTTGGCCGTCGCGCGCCGCGTCGGCGGGGGTGGCACGGCAAGGCACCGCACCGGCTTGCCGGCCGATCGGTGCCGGCGACCGGGCCGACTTGGACCGGGTGTTGACCGGTTTCGGCGCCGGTGGGCCGCGGCCGTGCCCGGCTCCGCCGGGGATCGATCTCGGCACGCCCGGCGCTGCGACCGTCGATTGGTGACACCGCAGCGCCGGTGTGCGCCGTCCGCAGAATGGGTGCGGGCGGCGGGGTGGGGCGAAGGTCGTCTGCCGGCCGTCGGCTCGGACGACGGCCGGTCACGTGAGAGGCCGGCTGGTCTGTCCCGCTGTGCGGTCGGTCATGCTATGCTAGCTCGCTGCGGCGATTTGTCCAGTTGGTAAAAGGCAAGGCTGATGGCTCTTGGAACGCGTCGCGCCAGAGCTGCGTCGCTGCGTCTGTACTAGAGAAAACACATCAATTCAACCCCTCAACTGTACGAAACGGGTTTTTGCCGACCATTTTGCGCTGGTAGTTATATTTCATCGCAGAGTACGGCACTGAAATGTGCCCTGCTGTCATACTAAGCTAGTTGTGACGTGTGTTATTTGCAGTCGAGTCGTATAAGTGAGCAAGCACGTCGTTTCCCCATAGTAGGAGGTGTCGCTCTCCCGACGCGCGCCCCTCCACAGAAAGAGTCGTCTGTCGGGTCACGAGAGAGAGAAAGGGCGTTTCATACCCCAGTGCTTAGCTGTGGGTCCTTCTGCACTTGAACGGAAGGAATGTCGTGACGGAACAGGGGAATGAGAGGCCGCAGTTTGGACTGAGTCTACCGTTGAGGAAGTAATGTTGGGAGACGCGCATCCTCGGAGCTGACGAGTTGCTTGGTGTTCAGCGTGAACACATGCACACTGCAGGCAGCCGGGAAGCGTAAAAATGCAGCCCATTTTCGTTGAAAGATATTTGATGATGTGACGCGCATGAAGTATCTGAGCTATTCTTTAGTGAACTATGTGGTATATGAAGTATTCTGTCATTTTAGCAGGTGTGCGTCGAGTACTAAGTTGCTGATAGTTGAACATGTTCATACGCACGCTGGTACGTCAGTTTATCGCGAGTCACGGCTTGAAGGCATCGGTTAGACACGTATCCCATTCATGACAATAGCAAACAACTTCTGCTCCGTCACGAAGTCGTGACCGGGAACATCTTCACTAAAAACTGTTGACTGTGATGACGTAAGCCTGCGTCAATCATTCCAACACCTTTCTGCTCACAAGAGATAATGTCTAAGAACGGACATCTGTTCACAACTGATCATAAAAATAAATGTTGTCTAATGGCGTGAGCACATCTTCGCATCGTGCTCAGTTCCGAGTGCACCAGCGAATGTTGGCAAGGCTTTTTCGTTTGGTGATAAGAAGGCTGTCGGCCGGGGCCACACACACGCACTACACCAAATCGTCGCCGCTCCGTTCGACAGCCGCTGTCAACAAGGACGTCCGACAATGGCTGTTACTACTCGCCAGTACCTTGTGTCGGGTGCGAAAATACCCCGTCGCCAGACGGTTGCCGGCCATCAATTTACTGGCAAATCTCCTGAGTTTGGACATAACGCCTCAGTTAGTGCCGACATCAATCAGTCTAGTCCCGTCTAGTCCAGAACAGACACCGAGGTGGCTGGTAACAAGCGTTCCCGTGAAATAGCGCCGGCATTTTGCCTGGAAAGACCGGCGCCAGTCACGTTTAGATACCGATGCAACTCAACGACCATGTCTAACGTTGGTCTTGTTCTATTGCATGGCTCAAAATGTTTGCGGCGGGATCTGGCGTTTGTCTTTGCGTTCATCGACAGCACAAATGGAAGCAGTGGAATATGCTTCATGCTTTGATAGCAACATCGGAGAGGTCGACTTCTTGTCTGCTGTTCTTCACCGCCGCTTGACGTAAAAAATGTTGGCTGATATTCAAGGCAACAATAATCTGCGAACGACAGCTAAGTCGTTTATCACGTAAGCTGTGAAGTGTATTTGCGGGGGGTGTCATCTTGTCATCTATTATGTCATCTAAACGTCTTCCCTCCATTCTCCTGGTTTTTCTACGAGGAATAAGGCTATTACTAATGTCTTATCCATAAGTTGTTTAGCATCTGTCCAATGCACTTAACTGCCTAAAATGATGGCTTTAACTACGTAGGATCATGTTGTCAATTCCAGCCCCATATGCGCATATTCCCTCCTCACTTGCTTGTGGTCTCCTTCAACATGCCAAGCATCTGGCTACAGGAATTTGAAGTTGTCGCCCGGCGGATGGCAGTCGTCGTTCGGCGAGCTCCCCGTCCGTACTGTGAGGTACTATTGGACTGCAGCCCGTGAGAAGCCA